TTTTACCAGGTTTAGAATTTAATAGATCTTTGAAGTGTGTCAGCCATTTATCTGGTGCTATGCAATCAGTCTCTGACTTTCGTGTATTCGTGTCATTGTTGAGTTCACATATTTTTTTCCAGAATGATGAATTGTTACCTTGAAGACTCTCAATTTCATTAAGCTGGTGTACTTTCTGGTGTATGTTTTGAAGAATTTACCTCTAACAATAGGGTCATTAGGAAATCTCTGAATTAATTTAGTATGCATTTTAAGTTCATTACGTAATAAATGGCAATCTTTATCAAACCATCTTTGGTTGTTTGTTTTTTTATTTTTTTATTTATTTTATTTTTTATTATTCTTTTGAAGTGGATTTTTTTAAGAGAAATCTGATACCATTTTGTCAGAGTTCTCATGGTTTGCCAACATAAATGTTTTGATTTCATTACATTTTGCTACTTCTAAAGCAGATAAAAATTTATTTTTTGAGTCACTGTCCCAAATATATTTAGTTGGTAAGGGATCCAATCTATTTACAATCCTGCCATTTACAATTACAAGATTACATTCAATACACATTTGGGAGAGTTTTCTACCAAATTTGTTAACACAGGGTTTTGAGACACTATCCATATTATTACGTGGTTCAAAATTATCATTCACATAATCCAAAGGAAGCAGAATAGAACACTGTAGGAGGCAATAGAAGGTAATGGAATATTACAGTTACCCAATTCATTTGTATATGCCCCCTCTAGATAACTATAGATGTTCTTAGGAGGGGGATGTACAATTAAATGATGAGTGCTGGAGGGTAGGAGTAGGGTTAGTGATGGGGGTACAAAAGGAACTCTTTCCAATTAGGTATTTTTTAGATGATTGGAAGGTATTGAAAAAGTCACCGGTGGTAATTTGTACAAGTCGCGCCTAGGTCAAACGTCATACTGGTGATTTTCATTAGAAGAGTGCATTGGATTGTGGGAAAATCAATGTTTATAAACACAAATGTCGCACATGCATAGCGCGGTGACACCAAAATCACTCTGGATAAGTTTGTTTACTTTGCATGTGTACTGTTTGCATTTCAAGTTTTGATATTTTTAATGGGAACAATACTCTATTGAAACACAAAAAATCCCAAGGAAGAATTTAAATAGTTACATAACATTTACAAATAGAATAACAATCCAAAAAAAATCCCACAAAAATTCACATTCAACTAAAAGGCTACACAATTGAAAATTTGTTACAAAACAATTTCCAATAACTATCTAGTATTTCAAAGATACTAGAACACACCCAATACTATTGTATCTGTTGTCAGTATTTGAAGAATTTCAAGTTAGCTATCTGGTACTAAGACTGGCCCAGTCATGTTATACGAGAATTCCTTAAAGAACGAGTTTGTAGAATCTCCAGTGTTGACATGGTAATTGCTATGTGTGGAAATGTTGCTACTGTGTAACAATTATTTTAATGGGTGTATGTACAGTACCCTCACAAAAATACCTATCAAATATTAGTAAGAGAATCTATTACAGAACCTGAGCACAAGAAATCATTACTTTCCCTTGCCAAAATTATGCATTTTTCCTATTCCTGTAACTTCATGCAAGAATCCTAATAAATATGATTTATCAATATTAGAGATCCTCCATGGCGGTGTAAATATTGTAGTCACTGACACTTATTTTGTATTTACATTTTCATGTATACCATGGGGACCGTATGTTGTCGTTTATTGATTTGATGACTATACATGTATTGTTTGTTCTTTGACTTTTGCATATACACAATGCGACCAAGAAAACATCAAACAAGTTAAGAAAAGTAGCCGTCAGTTGCCGGTGTCAAGAGAGAAGCAGAACCATGACTGTTTGTCGGCCACTGCTGTTCACAGCAGTGATATGATTTCACACAGAGTATGAAAACTGTAAATGTAGACTTGTTAAATAAACACTTGTTCTTCTTCTTCTACGGCTTTATTCCCAGTTGCTGGGGTTACCTGTGCGGATAATATCTCTGCATCATAGTTTTTTTGGCATGGGGTTTTTATTGCCGGATGCCCTTCCTGCCACAAACCACTGTTATCGGACATGAGCCTAGCCTTTTGCCTGAAGAGTTTTCCTTCTCCTAGACTGCACAATTAGATTATAAGTAAGATCATAGAACACATGAATATTTGGTAAGAAAATTGGGTTAGGGTTAGTTTAAATTTGTGTATTTCTATGAGCACTTTTCAAGGTTTTCATTTCTGGCAATGTCATTGTTATCTGAATGTGCACATGATCGTAATGATGTATTGTTGAACACTAAGCGTGTTTAAATCTATACATATTTGTGATAACAAGTAAACAACAAAGTTATGTTTAAACAATTGTATGAACTGTTACAATGACACAAACAGTAATAATAACTCCTTGATCCATTCCTAGGTAATAACTTTTGATTTGTATAAACAGTCTATACTGATGATATGTTGATAGGGTTCAATGATGGCTTTCAGTCACATCATGTTAAGTCAGTGGTACTATCACACTCTTCTACAATGCTACATTTATTTGTAAAATCCTTGTTCAACAACTACTAGTATAATCTATCCTTGATGTACAAGTTTAAAGTATCCATTGATACTGCATAGACTAGTATTTATTTATTTATTTATTTATTTATTTATTTATTTATTTATTTATTTATTTATTTATTTATTTATTTATTTATTTATTTATTTATTTATTTATTTATTTATTTATTTATTTATTCATTCATTCATTCATTCATTCATTCATTCATTCCAGAATGTGGAAACTGTGATTATAAACCTGAATTTTTCAATTTTCTTGGGTTATTCATGTCTGTATAAATCTATTTTCAGTTGTCCATCTTGTGTCCAGAAGAAAGGATTTTATTGATAACATCATCTAATTTGATCAAAGCTGTTACAAATCTCCAAAAAGTAAGAATTGTTTGTTTATTAACATTTTACTTGATATAATGTAAGAGTTAAGGTAGAAACCTGCTCATAATTTTTGACAAAATTGGTCATAAATCGCATGACAATGTATATTAGTATATTATGTACAATCATGAAGCTTTTGTGTGTTACAGTTGAGTTTTCTGAGAAGCATGTCCTAATATTTCTTGAAAATTGTTATTTTTAGAACAGTTCATGGTTTACACTACTCTGAAAGAACCATGGTTTACACTACTCTGAAAGAACCATGGTTTACACTACTCTGAAAGAACCATGGTTTATACTTCTTGAAAGAACCATGGTTTACACTACTCTGAAAGAACCATGGTTTACACTACTCTGAAAGAACCATGGTTTACACTACTCTGAAAGAACCATGGTTTACACTACTCTGAAAGAACCATGGTTTATACTACTCTGAAAGAACCATGGTTTACACTACTCTGAAAGAACCATGGTTTATACTACTCTGAAAAAACCATGGTTTACACTACTCTGAAAGAACCATGGTTTACACTACTCTGAAAGAACCATGGTTTACACTACTCTGAAAGAACCATGGTTTTTACTACTGTGAAAGAACCATGGTTACACTACTCTGAAAAAACCATGATTTACACTACTCTTAAAGAACTATGGTTTACACTTATCTGAAAGAACCATGGTTTACACTACTCTGAATGAACCATGGTTTACACTACTCTGAAAGAACCATGGTTTACACTACTCTGAAAGAACCATGGTTTACACTGCTCTGAAAGAACCATGGTTTACACTACTCTGAAAGAACCATGGTTTACAGTTCTTGAAAGAACCATG